CTCAACAGATGTATCCTATGATGTTTTTGCTCACGCAGTTTACCCTCAGAGCGGATGAAGAAGTTTACAACCAGCGTGAAGTACCAGAGACTGCAGAAGAAAGTCGGTTATGGAATTTGAAATAGTCGGATAATCTAAACTTTTGGTAAACGGAGGCCAACAGATTAAACGACTTATACGCATGAAACGTTTGATCATGCTGTGCACCTTCTGAAAAGGAGATAATGATCATGATTTGCAAATTTTCTTAATATCCAAAGATTTATGTCCGAAGACGATGTCGGACAGACAATGCTACGCGCAGAATATGCGTTACAATTGAGGAAACTTTATGGACTCCCCTTTACTTGTAGTCATTGTACAATTACGTCTGAGCAACCGCGCTAGATACTCAATACAGAAATGTCGACAAAGCTGTCACTGAGGTGAAGAAGATTTACACTTTTACGGTAGTCCTGCGAGATGGTTACGACGGATCCATTAGGGCGGTGAAATTAGTAAGGCAACAGAATCCTCTTTCAAGTTTAGCGGTTCGAAAAACCGTTAGCCGTAAACATACGAACATCGATCTCGTGAATCCGTCCAGCCACGTGGTCACTACGAAATCAGTTCTTCGCCCTTTGTGAACTAGACGATGGACAATGATGCCCTTCGATCAAAAGCTCTGGGCTAATTCACTGATCACTGTAACCGAACTGCAATAATTTCATCCTTCTTCCAAGGAACATTCGAGAAATACGTAGCCAGCGAATCGAAAAATCATAAATCATTACAACAAAACTGATTTACCAAATACCAGAAAACAAATATTTTCAATGGTATCCAGAGGCTTGCATCTAGGGCTAAAAAGATAACCTCATTACGGACAGTTATACAAAGCTTTACCTTTACTCTATACTTAATGAGCTGCATAAATACCATTTTATTTTTTAGCACTGTATATTTCATATCGCAAAGTGGCGGATTATGACGAAGAGAAACCGATGTCGGATTATCGGTTATTATTATTATTATCGATTATCGGATTATTAACTGTCGATAGTCAACTCAAGCTCAAGTAATATGTTTACAGATTTGTTTATATAGTGACCATTTCATTATATAGATTTGTCTTATATAGTGATCGTTTCGCATTTGTAACTGAACAGGGCCAGCTTTATGATGTAGCTCGTATACTTGCATAAAATGTATCCAGACCAGTCTGTGACCTCAACCATTGATTATATCAGTAAATCTTAACGCAACTTACAGGACCAACAAGTAGACAAAAATGCAGAAATGAGAGAGAATGAGAGAAAAATGAAAAGAAGGAAATACGCGGGAAAAAAGAAAATTAGGAAGTTGGATAAGAAGAGGGAAAAGAGGAAGCGAAAAATGAGAAGGACCTGGAGGAAAGTAAACAGAAAAAAAAACAACTTCCAGCAACAATGAACTATGATGGTGGATGATAAGAAAGCAGCGACTATCATGAACCTAACGATCGAAAAGAAGCAACGCTTGTAAAAAACTCATCAGCAACCCTCCACTATATACTTCCACCGGACATCGCGTCGTTTTTAACTGCCCAGCTATAACAACAATGGTTTGGCAGCTACAAAGAACGCTTAGCTGTCGTAATGCTCTTAATCTAGGCAAAAACGAACGTAATGAACAGATGTGATGTTTATATCTGTCCTTCATGACGTAATTTATGTAAACTCCAGACAAAGAGCAAAAAATCAATTCCAAATCTACTTTGACTATCTCGCGCTACCGTACCTCTGTATATCATACCGATCGTACTGTTTGCAGTTGTGGTCTGGTAACATCAGCCGAAATCTTGGCCCTGCACCAAGAAGGTTTTCTGCCAAGCGTGATTTCGAATAAAACAGTGTTTTATTCATAAATAGGAAAAAGATAAGAAAGCTGAAAAAACTGAACAAAAGGACGATGACGTTTAAGAAATCGAAAAACCACCCTTCAAAGCAGTGGCTACGAAGAAATAAATCTAGCAGAGTAAGGAAGAGTTTATCTCGCAAAGAAAGCGCCGTTTAAGGTTTAGGCAACGGCTTGAACTTCAGTGTGCGGAAACAGCCACCAGATTCAAATCTTCCTGTCACAACACACACCCTACGTATGACGATACTCTGCCAGAAAAAAAAGAAACAACCGATTAAAGTAGCGCACATGATGTGAAAAAATAACCGCTGTTGTCTTCTTATAGTCATCTGAGGTCAACAGAACTCGAACTGAATAATAAGCCACATTTATTATGCCTGACCTTTAGAAATGATATCTCAGATCGATATTAAGCAACGTACACCGCTGCGGCAAAAGACATGCAGTCAGGCCACAACGAAGTGTTTCCACGCTTCATAATGTGCTCCCACGCGTCTGTGGACAGGCACAATTCTCAAGAGAGAAAAGTTATGAATATATTTCCATTCCGTTTGAAAATTACCGCCATTACCCAACTATACGATAGAAAACTTCACTTATTAGTCTTCTCACTTCCATTCAATGTAAATGGCTTTGGGCGTAACATAGGATAGTCATTTATTCTCTTTCGACACTTCGGCTTCAGACAAATCTTCCACAACACAAGTATACAGTGCACAGTTCAGTAGTAAGTTATTCTCAATTCAGAAAAATTACGAGGCAGCCATCGTGGGACAAGCAAATATACAACAGAAATTTAAGAAACTTCACAAAGAGGATGAACTGAGTTGTGAAACTGGTGCAGTCAAGAACTCGTGAAAATGAATCAGAAGGGGGAGATTTTTATTTTGGCTACATTATAGATTTTCAAGAAGAACATATATAAACTGCTCTTATAG